GTGCTTGTAAAATTGGATATTTACATATTGAAGCTGAAATTTCAATACTTTGGCCACCTGATGCGAAGAGCTGACTCATTTGAAAAGACCCTGATGCTGGGAAAGATCGAGGGCAGGAGGAGAAGGGGATGACAGAAGATGAGATGGTTGGATGGTATTACTAACTCAATGGACATTGGTTTGGGTGGACTCTGGGAGTTGGTGATGGACAGGGAGGCCTGGCATGCTGCGGTTCATGGAGTTGCAAAGAGTCAGACACGACTGAGAAACTGAAATGAACTGAACATATAAAAGAATAAAACTAGACCCCTGTATTTCACCACTCACAAAAATTAATTTAGAGTGAAATGAAGACTTAAATGTAAGACTGAAAACCTTAAAACTCCTAAAGGAAAATATAGGAAAAATGCTTCTTTACATGTGTTTTGGAAATGATTTTTTGAATATGACTTCTAAAACTCAAGCAAGAAAATGCAAAATAAACAACTGAGACAACATCAAACTTAAAAATGTATACAGAACAAAAGAAACAATCAACAAAATGAAAAAACAGCCTATACAATGGGAAAAATACCAGCAAACCATGTGTCTGATAACAGGTTAATGTTATATATTAATATATATATATTATGTATATATTAATGCAGTGCTATGCTTATGATGAACACCCCAGGTCAGTAGATGTACAAATATGCTACTAGGGAAGAGTGGAGAAATAGCCCAGAAGGAATAAAGAGGCTGAACCAAAGCAAAAACAAAGCCAAGTTGTGGATGTATCTGGTGGTGGAAGTCAAGTCTTATGCTGTAAAAAACAATATTGCATAGGAACCTGGAATGTTAGGTCCATGAATCAAAGTAAATTGGAAGTGGTCAAATAAGAGACAGCAAGAATGAACATTGACATTTTAGGAATCAGTGAACTAAAATGGACCGGAACGGGTGAATTTAATTCAGATGACTATTATATCTACTACTGTGGACAAGAATCCCTTGGAAGAAATGGAGTAGCTATCACAGTCAATAATAGAGTCTGAAATGCAGTTCTTGGGTGCAATCTCAAAAATGACAGGATGATCTCTGTTCATTCCCAAGGCAAACCATTCAATATCACAGTAATCCAAGTCTATGCCCAACCACTAATGCTGAAGAAGCTGAAGTTGAGTGGTTCTATGAAGACCTACAAGACCTTCTAGAACTAACACCAAAAAAAGATGTCCTTTTCATTATAGGGGACTGGAATGCAAAAGTAGGAATTCAAGAGATACCTGGAATAAGTAGGAAGTCAAGAGATATCTGGCAGGGGTTCAGGATGGGGAACTCAGGTACACCCATGGCTGATTCATGTCAATGTATGGCAAAAAGCACTACAATATTGGAAAGTAATTAGCCTCCAATTAAAATAAATTAATTAATTAAAAAAAAGAAACACCTGGCAAGTTTGGCCTTGGAGTACAATATGAAGCAGGGTAACGGCTAACAGAATTTTGCTAAGTGAACACACTGGTCATAGAAAACACCTTCTTCCAATAACACAAGAAATGACTCTACACATGAACATCACCAGATCATCAATATTGAAATCAGATTCATTATATTATTTGCAACCAAAGATGGAGAAGCTCTATACAGTCAACAAAAACAAGACTGGGAGCTGACTGTGGGTCAGATCATGAACTCCTTATTGCCAAATTGACTTAAAAGGAAGAAAGTAGGGAAAGTCACTAGGCCATTCAGGTATGACCTAAGTCAAATCCCTTACAATTATACAGTAGAAGTAACAAATGGATTCAAAGGATTAGATATGATAGACAGAGTGCCTGAAGAACTATGGACAGAAGTTTGTAACATTGTACAAGAGGCAGTGATCAAAACCAGCCCCAAGAAAAAAAGAAATGCAAAAAGGCAAAATGGTTGTCTGAGGAGGCCTTACAAATAGCTAAGAAAAGAAGAGAAGCAAAAGGCAAAGGGGAAAAGGAAAGATATACCCATCTCAATACAGAGTTCGAAAGAATAGTAAGGGGAGATAAGAAACCCTTCCTAAGTGAACAAACAATGCAAAGAAATAGAGGGGTAAAAAATAGAATGGGAAAGACTAGAGATCTCTTCGAGAAAATTAGAGATACCAAGGGAACATTTCATGCAAAGATGAACACAATAAAGGACAGCAATGGTACATTCCTAACAGAAACAGAAGATATTAAGAGGTGGCAAGAATACACAGAAGAACTATACAAAAGAGATCTTAATGACCCAGATAACCACAATGGTGTGATCACTCACCTAGAGCCAGACATCTTGGAGACAGAAGTCAAGTGGGCCTTAGGGAGCATCACTATGAACAAAGCTAGTGGAGGTGATGGAATTCCAGTTGAGCTATTTCAATCCTAAAAGATGATGCTGTGAAAGTGCTGCACTGAATATGCCAGCAAATTTTAAAAATTCAGCAGTGGCCACAGGACTGGAAAAGGTCAGCTTTCATTCCAATCCCAAAGAAAGCCAGTAGCAAAGAATGTTCAGACTACTACACAATTACCCTCATTGCACATGCTAGCAAAGTAATGCTCAAAATCCTCCAAGCGAGGCTTCAACAGTATGTGAACCAAGAACTTCCAGATATTCAAGCTGGATTTAGAAAAGACAGAGGAACCAGAGATCAAATTATCAACATCAGTTGGATCATAGAAAAAGTAAGAGAATTCCAGAAAAACATCTACTTCTTCACTGACTATGTTAAAGCCTTTGACTGTGTATGGATCACAACAAATGGTGGAAAATTCTTAAAGAGATGGAAATACCAGACCACTGTACGTGCCTCCTGAAAAATCTGTATGGAGGTCAAATAGCAATAGTTAGAACCAGACATGGAACAATGAACTGGTTCAAAACTGGGAAAGGAGTACATGAAGGTTGTATACTGTCACCCTGCTTATTTAACTCATATGCAGAATACATCATGCGAAATGCTGGGCTGGATGAATCAAAAGCTGGAGTCAAGACTACTGGAGGAAGCATTAACAATTTCAGATGCAGGTGATACCACTCTAATGGCACAAAGTAAAGAGGAACTAAAGAGCCCCTTGATGAGGGTGAAAGAGGAGAGTGAAAATGTTGGCTTAAACTCAACATTCAAAAAACTAAGATCATGGCAAATAGGTGAGGAAAACATGGAAACTGTGGCAGATCTTATTTTCTTGGGCTCCAGAATCACTCTCGACAGTTACTGCAATCTTGAAATTAAGATGCTTGCTCCTTGGAAGAAAAGCTATGGCAAACCTAGATAGAGTTTATAAAAGCAGAGATATCACTTTGCCAACAAAGTCCGTATAGTCAAATCTATATAGACGTTTTTGAGCATCACCATGCTAGCAAGTGAAATGAGTGCAACTGTATGGTAGTTTGATCTTTGAGCTTTCTCAGGCTTTCTAGGTTGTGCCAGTTGTAAAGCATCTGCTTGCCAAGCTGGGGACGCAAGAGATGTGGGTTTAATTCCTGAGTCAGGAAGATCCCCTGGAGTAGAAAATGGCAACCCAGTCCAGTATTCTTGCCTGGAAAATCCCACAGACAAAGAAGCCTGGCTGGCTACAGTCCATGGGGTCACAAAGATTCAGACACGACTGAATAACCGAGCATATACACAGTTGAACGTTCTTTGGCATTGCCGTTCTTTGGGACTGAAATAAAAACTGACATTTTCCAGTCCTATCACCACTACTGAGTTTTCCAAATCTGCTAACATATTTAGTGTAGCACTTTAACAGCATCATCTTTTAGGATTTTAATAGTGCAGCTGGAATTCCATCACCTTTTCTGTATAGTTTTGTGTATCAAAACCTGAATGAGATAACATTTCACACTTATTATAATGACTACCACCAAAAATAAATGTGGGAACAAATCTTGAGGATGTGGAGAAAAGGGAACACTTGTGCAGTATTCACAGAAATGTAAATTAATATAGCAACTATGAAAATAGTATGGTGATTTCTCAAAAAATTAAAAATATAACTGCCATATGATCCAGCACTTCTACTCCTGGGTATATCCAAAGAAATAAAAACACTATGCCAAAGAATTATCTACACCCTCAAATTTATAGTAGCATTATTTATAATAGCCAAAGCATGGTAACAACCTAAGTATCTCTCACCAGATAAATAAATTAAGAAGTTGTGGTTTGTAATATACATACAATAGAATATTATTCTGCCATAAAGAAATAAGGAAATCCTGCCATTTACAACATGGATGGACTTTGTGGGGCATTTCACTAAGTGATATAAGTCAGAGAAAGACAAATACTGTATGAACTTACTTATATGTAAAACTGAAACAAACACCCCAAAACATCAGATTCTTGGTGGTTCAGGCAGGGAGCAGGAGGTGGAGGAATTGGATGAAGTTGTTCAAAAGGTACAGCCTTCCAGTTATAAGACAAATAAGTATTGGAGAGGTAATATACAATTTGATGACTATTGTTAACACTGCTGTATAGTATACTTTAAAGTTGTTAAGAGAATAGTTTCTAATTTCTCATCACAAGGAAAGAATTATTTTCTTTTTGTACAAATATGAGATTATTGATATTACCTAAAAATGCTGATAATCATTTCAACATATGAAAGTAAAACTATTAAGCTATAACTTACATAGTACTAAATTATATCTCAGAAAATCCTAGAAAAAATTTTAACAAAAACAATTGGTTGTAAAGCTTTGTGGCTTTTTTTTTTAAGGCAAATGTTTAATGAATCATGTTCAAACACAAGCTAGTTAATGAAGAACTTCAGGTTCAAAGGGCCAGATGCTCTGCATCCCTAAGAAACTGCAATCAGCTTCTCAACCTGGTTGAGCATTTTCACATTGCATTTTGCTGCCAAAAAATTAGTTGTACATTTTTGAGTGTTGATCTATCACTAAAAGATTTAAGTTAGGAGACAGAAAGAAAATGTTTTATATCTGTATTAAAAAAAAAAATCTGCCCATGAACAAGGAGCCAGGTGTCAATTTCCTACGGGGGGAACATTCTCATGGAGGTACTGGAAGGCCAAGTCGATCCACTTCATCTCTTGTTCTTTAACAGATTCCGTGGTGCCTCCTTTGTCCCGTTCAGGTTCAGGAAACTCATTCAGTGGTATTGCAACATCCTCGTGAGGCAGCTTGTCTTCTCGCCAAGCATCGTCAGTCAAATCCAAGATCCTTCCAATTCTCTGTACTTCACTGTTCATTCTCTTGCAGCTTTGATCTTGTCGGACCTGCATTAGCGCTCAGTAAACTTGTAGTTACAAGAGCAAACCTGGAATGCCTTTTCCCTCGTTAAAAATGACCCTCTCGGGCCACCGTCCGTACAGGTGTGAGAGCCTACCCCACAGCCTCGGCTTCCGCCCGAGGCAGCCTATATCACATGCGGAAGCGGGGCAAGTGCAGGACCGCCACATAAGTCCCTTTCCACCCTTGCGACGTGAGGTAAGGGAGGTAGTTACGAGGATGAGGTGAGGAGAACGACCTCGGCTGATAGGATGGGCAGAAACCTGAACACGCTCCTCTTCTACACTACCTAAGCCAGGGCGCGGGAAAATTTTACCAGCACTGGCCCAGAGCGGCGCCGGCCTCCGCTGGACCCTTTGTGGCATTTTTATTTGCCCTTCCCTCACCCCTCCTTGATGTGGCAGCTGTCTTGAAAAAAACAGCTTTGTTCTCAGTGTGAAACTTCACTCCCTGTCTCTGGATGGTGCAGTTAGTTCAGTTCAGTTCACTCAGTCGTGTCCAACTCCAGGGTACCCGATGGAATACAGCACGCCAGGCCTCCTTGTCCATCACCAACTCCGGGAGTTTACTCAAACTCATGTCCATTGAATCAGTGATGGCATTAAACAATCTCATCCTCTGTTGTCCCCTTCTGCTCCTGCCTTCAATCTTTCCCAGCATCAGGATCTTTTCAAATGAGTCAGTCCTTCGCATCAAGTGGCCAAAGTATTGGAGTTTCAGCTTCAGCATCAGTCCTTCCAATGAACATTCAGGATTGAATTCATTTAGGATGGACTGGATGGCGCAGAGCAGACCTCATTCTCAAATTACTATTTATGTCTATACTCTAGCCTCTCAGGGGGGGTTCTTGAAAACTGAAGCAAAGCACTCATTTCTGTTTTGACTAACTGGAAACTCAGGCCAGAAAAGCAGAAAGCATTGCCCTAAAACAGTATAAGGCAAGCCAACAATCCACAAGTGCCTGGGTCAAAAGATTACAACTGAGATACATCTAAGATCTGTGATACAACAGACCATCTAAGGACTGGGAGAAAAAGCTGAGGGTGGGGAGTTACTTTGGGCACTTAGGATATTCAGAAGTATATATAGGGAAATTTAGAAAGCCACACACATCCAGAATAAGAAACATGCTTTAAAAAGACTCCAAAGACCCTAAGTTTTCAACTCAGGCTAACTGTTAGGCTTAGTGCAAGCCTGGTTTATTGTTGAGGGAGTATATTAGAAAAATGACAACCTGCAAAAACAGGGAGAGGTGTGTTTGTTTTAGCTCCTGACTTTTGAGAAAACCTATCAAAACACTATCTAAAAAAAGATAAGAAACAGATTTCAGTGATCACACACAAGGAATATATTGTTTGCAAAAAATAATTTTGAGAATATCACTAAGCAAATGGACTGCTGCTGCTGCTAAGTCGCTTCAGTCGTGTCCGACTCTGTGCAACCCCATAGATGGTAGCCCACCAGGCTCCGCTGACCCTGGGATTCTCCAGGCAATAATACTGGAGTGGGTTGCCATTTCCTTCTCCAATGCATGAAAGTGAAAAGTGAAAGTGAAGTTGCTCAGTCATGCCTGACTCTTTGCAACCCCATGGACTGCAGCCTACCAGGCTCCTCTGTCCATGGGATTTTCCAGGCAAGAGTACTGGAGTGGGTTGCCATTGCTTTCTCCAAAGCAAAAGGACTACTATAGTCCAATAATCAAAATAAAGAAAACTCTAGGGAAGGAGGGCAAATCTGATTTTCAGAATCACATTAGAATATTTAAATGTCCAATTTTCAACAAAAATAAGCAAAATACATTCAAAGACATGGGAATGCAGGGCCATCCAAAGGAACAAATTAAACAGAACTAATCACTGCAGAAGCAAAGATATCAGAATTAATAGACAAAAACTTTAAATAACTGTCTTTAGTTCATTTTAGTTGCTCAGTCGTGTCCGACTCTTTGCGACCCGTTAATTGCAGCATGCCAGGCCTCCCTGTCCATCACAAACTCCCGGAGTTTACTCAAACTCATGCCCATCGAATCGGTGATGCCATCCAGCCATCTCATCCTCTGTCGTCCCCTTCTCCTCCTGCCCCCAATCCCTCCAAGCATCAGGGTCTTTTCCAATGAGTCAACTCTTCGCATGAGGTGGCCAAAGTATTGGAGTTTCAGCTTGAGCATCAGTCCTTCCAATGAACACCCAGGACTTATCTCCTTCAGGATGGACTGGTTGGATCTCCTTGAGTCCAAGGGACTCTCAAGAGTCTTCTCCAACACCACAGTTCAAAAGCATCAATTTTTCGGCACTCAGCTTTCTTCACAGTCCAACTCTCACATCCATACATGACCACTGGAAAAGCCATAGCCTTGACCAGATGGACCTTTGTTGGCAAAGTAATATCTCTGCTTTTTAATATGCTATCTAGGTTGGTCATAACTTTCCTTCCAAGGAGTAAGTGTCTTTAAATAACTGTCTTAGACATGCTCAAAGAGCTAAAGGAAAACACAGACCAAGAACAAAAGGAAATTTGAAAAGGGATATATGAGCAAAGTGAGATTAGCAATAAAGACATAGAAATCATAAAAAGAGCCAAACAAATTCTAAGGATGGAAATATATAACTGACACTTCAAAAAAAAAGTGCTAGAGGAGTTCAACAGCCAGTGTGAGCAGGCCGAAAAAATAAATCAACTAACTTAAAACTAGGATAATTACAATGATCATGCCTGTGGAGCAAAAAGAAAAAAAGAATGACGTGAACACAGTCTACAAACTAATGGGACCATCAAAAAGACCAACATGCATTATGAATGTCCCAAAAGAAAGGATCAGAAAGAATATTTGAAGAAAGAATGGTCAAATACAGCCAAAATTTGATGATAGACATGAATCTCCAAATCCAAGAATCTCAATGAACTCCAAGCAGAATAAACTCAGAGGCCCACACCAAGACATATTATAATCAAACTGGCAAAAGACAAGGACAGAGACAATCCTGAAGGCAGCAAAAGAGAAACAACTCATGATCAAAATATCCTCAATAAATTTAACACACAGATCTCATCAGCAATCAGAGGCCAGGAGATATTTAACTTGCTGAGAGAAAAATACTGTCAACAAAAAATACTCTATCTAGAAAAACTGAGTAGAAAGTAAGTAGAAACAAAGACATTCCCAGATAAACAAAACCTAAGACAGTTCATTACAACTAGACCTGTCCTACAAGAAAGGCTAAAGGGACTACTTCAGGCAGAAATGAAAGGATTGTAGGCAGTAACTTGAATCTACATCTAGTTTGTAATAAAGACCTCTAGTAAAGGTAAATACATGGGAAAATATAATAGCTATTATTGTTGTAATTTTGTTTTGTAACTCTGTTTTATCTCCTACATGACTTAAAGGGAGACCCAGGTTTGATCCCTGGGTTGGGAAGATCCCCTGGAGAAAGAAATGGAAATCCATTCCAGTATTTTTGCCTGTAGAATCCTGTGGACAGAGGAGCCTTGCAGGTTACAGTCCATGGGGTTCCAAAGAGTTGGACACGACTGAGCGACTAGCAGTTACATGACTTAAAAGAGCAGTGCAACAAAATAATTATAAACATATTATCAGGCACACAATATATGAAGATGTAATTTGTGACATCAATAAAGGGAGAATAGAGCTTTATAGGACTAGAAATTTTGTTTATTGTTGAATTCAAACTGATAATTCAAATTAGACTGTATAATGTTGACTATAATCACCATAGTAGCCACAAAGAAAATATTTAACAACTATATGCAAAAGGGAAATGAGAAGGGAATCATAATGGTTCACCACGAAAAAAATCAACATAGAAGACAGTAATGAGAAACAAAAAATGTATAATACATAAAGACAACTGGCAGTTCTTCCTTATACTAATTACTTTAAATGTAAATGAATTAAATAAACTCCAAACAGAAGGCAAACATCAGCAAAATGGATAAAATCAAATGATCCAGCTACAGGCTAAGAACTATATGCTATATGCTAAGAGACTCACTTTAGCTCCAAAGACACAGACAAATATGTTGCAAGTGAAAGGACAGAAAAAGATATTCTATGTAAATAGTAAGCAAAGGAGAATTGAGGTGGGTATACTAGTATTAAGCAGAATAAGACTGTAAGCCAAAAATTGTTTTAAGAAACCAAAATGCATACTACATATTGATAAAAATTCACCAAGAAGATAAAATTTATGCACAAAATGACAGATGCCCCCAAATATATGAAGCAAACATTGACAGAATCAAAGAGTAAAGTAGATAGCTATGTAAGAATTGTTAGAAACTTCAATATTCCACTCTCAAAAAATGGATAAAACCTTTAGACAGAAGATCAATGAGGAAACAGAAGACTTCAACAACACTATAAACAAACTAGACCTAATAGACATATAAAACTCTCAACCCAACAACAGTAAAATATGTTTCTCAAGTGCACAAGGCATGTTGTCCAGACCACATATTAGGCCATAGAACAATTTTTAGTACATTTTAAAAGACTGCATGCAGGGCCTCCAAGGTGGCTTAGTGGTGAAGAATCTGCCTGCCAATTTAGGAGACTTGGGTTCAGTCCCTGATCTGGGAAGATCCCACATGCTACAGAGTAACTGTACCCATGCACCACTACTGAACCTGTGCTCTAGAGCGCAGGAGGCTCATGCTCCTTAGAGCCTGTGCTTTACAACGATAAGACACCACAATGAGAAGCCTGCACACTGCAACAACAGAAAAAGCTTGTGCAGCAACAAAGATCCACCAGAGCCAAAAGTTGAATAAATAATTTTGTAAAATGTGACTGTTTATTCTATTTTTAAAAAAGACTGAAATCACACTAAGTATATTCTCTGACCACAATAGAATGTAGCTAGAAATCAGTAACAAAAGAAGTGGAAACTTCATTTGTGGCATATTAAATGTGGCAATTAACACTTTAACAACCAATAAATCAAAGAAAGTATAAGGGAAATTTCAAATATGATCCAGCAATTATACTCCAAGATATGTATATACCTGAAGTATATGTTTTTAAAATATTAAAAAAGAACAAATACTGTATGATTCCACTTATAAGAATCAGAATAGGTAAATTCATAAAGTGAGTAGATTAGAACTTACCAGGAGCTGACACAGAGAGAGAAATTGGGAGTTACTAGTTACAGTTCCTTTCTAGAGTGATGAAAAAGTTTTGAAGATAATGGTGATGGCAACACAATATGAAAGTAATTAATGCCACTAAAATTGCATACTTAAGAGTGGTTAAAATGATAAATTTTGTTATAATAATTTTTAATATCAATTTTTATTATGGTAAAGTATACATATAACAATAAAAATTTACTAAGATCGGCTTTTTCTGGGGGAAAATTCAAAAGAATTTTAGAGAATTTTACAGAGTAAAAAACATGACTGGCTATGTTGTTATAAGCGTATGTACTTATGAGCCAATCATACATTTGCACAGCTTTAGATCTCAAAATATACCATCCATCTGCCCTTTTACCAACATTGAAGTGTGTTTATCAAGGTAAAAAATGAACAAACTTTAATGGTTCTCTTCTGACAAGAGAAGAAAATGTAGGACATAGACTGTTAAAATTTTACTTTGAGAGGCTATCTCAGCAAGTAATCTAAATAAGTGAGTGATGGTATATATGTTGCTTTCTGAAAATAGGTGGCAGTGTAACTTTTAGTGAAAGAGCAAGATAGCACTGAATGTTGAGAACCCCAAGGACTAATATCTGAAATTTTCTTCAAAAGAAATCTATTACTGGGGAAAGTGGCTAAATAGGTGAATTTGTCAAATGAATTATTCAAATAACCACCAAAATATACCACAGGGAAAAGAAAACCCACAAGGAAGGAGAAAACAGGACAAGATGCAAATAGTACAAAACGTCGAGAAACATGGATGAGATATAAAACCACGAGAAGAACAGGACAAGAAACAAGCAGAAGACAGTTTTAAAAGCTGAAAAACATGAATGGACTGGCAGACTTAAGAAAGATAAATCAAGCCAGCAGTGGAGAAAGATGAGAACCAACCCAGTTAACCTCAATTGTTAGTCAGCAGAACAGCAACTAGGGGGTCAAGGACAGTGGCTAAACTCATGAACCCTGATGAAACTATCTGGAAGTTTCAAATAGGATATCCTTCTCCCAACTCCCCACAATTGCTTGTCTGGCCCTCCTCCACATCAGTTGAAGTTAGGAGGTTTCTCTAGAGAAGCTAGAACAGTTTTCTGGACTGCAGGCACTTGTGTGTGGGGGAGGGGATGGACAGGATGGCCATAAAAATACAGGGTGCCAGAAATCTCATTCTTTTTCTTCAATATGGGTAAAGGTAGAAAGACCTTTAGCCTCCAGGAAGGAGATTGGAAACCTTTACTTTGGAGACTGACCAAAGCAAGATACTCATGTGGAGTATCTTTTTGTAAACTCTCATGGAAGCTGAAGCAGCTATGATCCAAAGAACTTCATTATGCTCTCCCTGAAGCCTTCATGTAATAATGACAATGTTGGGACTTCTCTAGTGATCCACTGGTTAAGAATCCACCTTCCAATGCAGGGGACACTGGATCAAATCAGGGTTCAATCCCTGGTTGGGGAACCAAGATCCCACATGCCAAAGAGCAGCTAAGCCCTCGCACCACAACTAGAGAGCCTACGCACAGCAACGAGAGAAGTCTGTGCGCCACAAGCAGAGAAGCCCTCTCATGCTCTGACACCCAGCACAACAAAAAAAGGCAATCTTTTCCTTTTACACCTGCAAACAGATTTTTAAAAAGTAAATGTACTGTTTAAGGATGTATGTTATGTAATAAACTAAAAGAAATGCAAGGGAATGATTAACACAAAGTTGGGATACTGCCTGTAGGCAGTATCCACATGTATGTGGGAGAGGGGACGGATGCAATTACAGACACACGAGTCTTCTTAGATTCTACTAAATGTTCTATATCCCAACCTCCTTCAATATTACAAATGTTTTACTTCTTAATCTGGTGGTGGGTATATGAATGCTCATTTTATAATTACCCTTTCAATCATACACTTTTTTGTATTTATAATTTATTTCACAAATTCAAAAAATCATCCTACCAACTTTCTTGTTCAGATCCCAAGCTCAATGAAGAGCATTCTAGTAACAGTTTGATGCTATTATAGCTTTGCCTCCCAGAATGGACATCAGACCACTTGGCATGAACATTTTTCTTTTTAAAATAATAAACAGGTGTGATGATTTTTTAAATAAAATTCATAAAATAACACTTAACTGATTTAATGATATGTCCTAATATATGAGATTAAACTGGTTTCTAAATAAATCCTCCAAGAGTCAGTATATCCTCTGCCAGTAACCAAACTCATTCTCAGATCAGGAATTTTTCGATGCTTCAATTTCATTCCATATTGCAGCTTCAATCTTTGATGTGTCATATTCCCTCATCATATCAAACTCAAGCCATGGCTGACTCCACTTCTGGGCTTCTTTCATTTGCTCTTCGGTTAAACAAAGGTCGAATCTGATCCCTTTAACATTAAATTTTGGACGTTCCCAGTGTTTGGACCAGGGTTTTGGCTTCATTTTTACTTTTAGCTAAGGAAGATATAAGAAAAGGAACAAATCAGGCTGATAATTGTAAAAAAAATTATTCTTGAATTTCCAGTTCCAAATGTACAACTTATACCTGATTAATAGGAACTTCTTGGCTAGGTTCTTGTGCTACTGGCTTCATGTTCATATCAAAAGTGCTGTATTCAGGAAGGGCATCTCGCAAGTATAGCAAACTATCATCGAGCCGTTTCTCTAATCTGACAACTTGGATCTCCTGGATTCGAGGATTATAAAGTTCAAAGCAAATCTCAACACCTAAAAAGAGAAAACATTTTTACAATCTAAATTCAGACTCCTGCATACACCTTATACTAAAATAAAGACTATTTCATGAAGGAATTAGCTCAGGGTTTTTGCATGTAGGAAATGTGATATCAATTTGTAACCTTTAAAATGAAGATTATTGAAAGAAATAGAAATAAAGCCATTAGATTAAAAAAATGAGAAAACCTGAGTTAGAAGGATAAAGCAAAATGTCTTCTATAAATATAATGAGCCATTTATCTCTTTGATTTTGACAGTATTAGTTGGAAGTTTGAATAAATTCTTCACTCATATTCTTGTTTATTTCCCAATACTTTAATAAAACTGGATCTTCTACATTTAAAGAACAGAATTAATGATTCAAAAGAGTAAGTACAATTTTTAAGTTCTAATTTTGATTCAGAAGTCCTCGTAAGATGGCCTAGGTTTGTAAATACTCTGTGCCCTCTATAGGAGGAACAGCTTTGAGTGTTTCCAAGATGCTGATATAAAAGGTTAATATATATAATCTACATGTATCATGAACATTTAAAGGGACATGTATTCTGACCCAAGAGAAATATAGATAGTAAAACATGATCAGCATTAACATCTAGTATTAATACCAGGATTTAATCAAGTTTCACTCTACATCTATTCTGTTATAGGCACTGATTTAAGAGCTGTGCCTACAGTAAAATCAAAATAGATAAAACTCTTCTCTTCTCATAAAGCTTATATTCTAGTTCAGTTCAGTCACTCAGTCATGTCCGACTCTTTGCAACCCCATGAACTGTAGCATGTCACGCCTCCCTATCCATCACCAACTGCTGGAGTCTATGCAAACCCATGTCCATTGAGTCAGCAGATGACAACAATAAAGAGATGGCAAACAATAAATAAAAAAACCAGCAAGGTAATTTTATATAGTGAAGACAATACAGGATGATTACATTGTGACTGAGAAAGGGGCAACTTTATTTATCCTGAACCATGCAGCTTGTGGGATCTTAGTTCCCCAACCAGGGATTGACAGCAAAACATCAAGTACTAACCACTGGACCATCAGGGAATTCCCAGGGGCAACTTTAAACAGTATCATCAGGAAAAGCTTCTTTGAAAAGACAGCATTTCAACTGATACTACAAAGGGCCAAGAATGCTCCAGGCAGAAAGAACAGCAAACACAAAGGCTCTGGGGTCTTAACAAACCTACCATGTTGGAAAAACCAGAAAAAGGTCCATTTGGCTAAAGTATAGTAACTTGGTGGATCAGGAAGGTAAGCCAAGGATACTGCACAGCTGCAGGCAGGAGATGATGGTGGAAAGGACAAGAGTGGTAGCAATGGAGGCGGAGACACAGACAAAGCTGGGATAAAATTTCTGGAGATTAAGCCATGAAAACTTGCTGCCTGGATGTGTGAAAATGAATAACTAAAAATAGCTCCTAAGTTCTGGGTTTAAGTAAATGGGTATGGAGTAATACAACTTATGGAAATAGAAAAGAAAAAACAAAAAACAAACCTGTGAAAAGAACATATTATGAAGGAAATGGAGTTCTGTTTTGAAGTTGCTTTAACAAGATACCCAAATGGAGATGTCAAATAGGTAACTGCATTAGAGTATCTGGAATAAGGAAGGGGTCAGTCATCAATATAAATCTGGGAATAAATACCATATGAATGGTATTTAAAGCCAAGGGACTAGAAAGAATCAAAGTAGGAAGTATCAGTGTGGAAGGTCCAGGCAGGTCACAGTCAAAATGTTAATGGTAGAAAATGTTAATGGCAAGACAGAGCTAATACTTGTGAGAATTCTGTGTCAAGTACTTTACATACAACATGAGAATTAACTGACCATAACCCAGGGAGGTAGATCTGATGGACAGAGTGCCTGATGAACTATGGATGGAGGTAGTGACCAAAACTATCTCAAAGGAGAAGAAATAAAAAAGACAAAATGGTTGTCTGAGCAAGCCTTACAAATAGCTGAGAAAAGAAGAGAAGTAAAAGGCAAAACAGAAAGGGAACTCAATCCAGAGTTCCACAGAATAGCACGGAGAGATAAGAAAGCCTTCTTAAGTGAACAACACAAAGAAATAGACGAAAACAATAGGACGGGAACAGCTAGAGATTTTTTCAAGAAAACTGGAGGTACCGGATAAACATTTCATACAAAAATGGGCACAATAAAGGACGGAAATGGCAAGGACCATAACAGAAGCAGAAGAGATTAAGAAGAGGTGGCAAGAATACACAGAATAACAAAAAGATCTTCATGACCCAGATAACCATGATGGTGTGGTCACTCACCTCGAGCCTGACATCCTGGAGTGTGAAGCCAAGTGGGCCTTAGGAAGCATTATGATGAACAAAGCTAGTGGAGGTGATGGAATCCCAGCTGAGCTATTGCAAATCTTAAAGAGATGATGCTATTAAAGTGCTGTATTCAATATGCCAGCAGATTTGGAAAACTCAGCAATGGACACAGGACTGGAAAAGGTCAATTTTCATTCCATTTCCAAAGGAAGGTAGTGCCAAAAGATGTTCAAACTACTACACAACTGTGCTCATTTCGCATGCTAGCAAGGTAATGATCAAAAATCCTTCAAGCTAGGCTTCAACAGTACCTGAAGCGAGAACCTCCAGATATACAAGCTGGATTTAGAAAAGGCAGAAGAAACTGAGATCAAATTGCCAATATCCACTGGATCACAGAAAAAAGCAAGAGAATTCCAGAAAAACATCTACTTCTGCTTCACTGACTATGCTAAAGCTTTTGATTGTGTGGATCACAATAAACTGTGGAAAATTCTTAAAGAGATGGGAATACCAGACCACCTTACCTGCCTCCTAAGAAACCTGTATGCAGGTTAAGAAGCAACAGTTAGAACCAGACAGGGAACAATGAACTAGTTCCAAATTGGGAAAGGAGTATGTCAAAGCTGTATATTGTTATCCTGCTTATTTAACTTATATGCAGAGTACATCATGTGAAATGCCAGGCTGGATGAAACATAAGCTGGAATCAAGACTGATGGAAGAAATGTCAACAACTTCGGATATGCAGATGACACCATCCTCATGGCAGAAAGCGAAGAAGAACTAAAGAGCCTCTTGAGAATGAAAGAGGAGAGTGAAATAGCTGACTTCAAACTCAGCACTTGGGACTTCCCTGGTGGTCCAGGAGGGCTTCCCACATGGCTCAGTGGTAAATAATCTGCCTGCAATGCAAGAGACCCAGGTTTGATCTCTGGGTCGGAAAGATGCCTTGGATGGGGCACAGCAACCCACTCCAGTATTCTTGCCTGGAGAATCCCATGGACAGAGGAGCCTAATGGGCTACAGTTCATAGAGTTGCAAAGAGTCGGACATGACTGAAGCTACTCAGCATGCATGCCTGGTGGTCCAGTGGCTAAGACTCTAAACTCCCAAAGCAGGGGGCCCCAGTTCCATCCCTGGTCAGGGAGCTAGATTCCACATGCCACAACTAAGACCCAGTGCAGCCAAATAAATAAAATAAATTGAAAACAAAAAAACAAACAAACAAACCTCAACATTCAAAAAATTAAGATCAAGGTGACCAGTCTCATCACTTCATGATAAATAGATGGGGAAAAAATGGAAACAGTGGCAGATTTTATTTCCCTGGGCTCCAAAATCAGTGTGGACAGTGACTGCAGTCATGAAGTTAGATGCTTGCTCCTTGGAAAGAAATCTATGACAAATCTAGAAAGCCTATTAAAAAGCAGGGATATCACTTTGCTGACAAAGGTCCATATAGTAAAAGCTATGGTTTTTCCAGTAGTCATGTACGAACATGTGAGTTGGACCATAAAGAAGGCTGAGCACTGAAGAATTGATGCTTTCAGACTGTGGTGTTGGAGAAGACTCTTGAGAGTCCCTTAGACAGCAAGGAGATCAAACCAGTCAATCCTAAAGGGAATCAACCCTGTATATTTATTGGAAGGACTGATGCTGAATTGGAAGCTCCGATATTTTGGCCACCCTTTGGGAAGAGCTGACTCACTGAAAAAGACCCTGATGCTGGGAAAGATTGAGGGTAGAAGGGGGTGCCAGGGACAGATGGTTGGATGGCATCATTGACTCATGGACATGAGTTTGAGTAAACTCCCAGAGATAGTGAGGAACAGGGAAGCCTGGCAGGCCGCAGTCCATGGGGTCGCAAAGAGGCAGACATGACTTAGCGACTGAACAAGAAACTACTAGGAGATAGAAACTATTATCACAATTTTACACACACACACACACACACAAAATCTACTGAGCTCTATCACACCTTTGCTTGTGTCTTTCTATGATAAGATTTCTCCACGTACACAACGTGATTTAGAGGCACAAGCTTCTGTGATCATTTCTGCTGAGGTCCTACATGCACAGCACCATAGGATAAGGGAGACATAAACCATTTTCACATGTTCAATTTCTTTCAATATAGTACTTCACTGCTGGGGACCATGAAGCATACAACTTTAAGTATGAAAAGTTTACTGTTCCTACCATTTTTTTTTTTGCCTTTTCTTTTTTTAAAAAAATCTTTTTTAGCTTTATTCATGTTTATTTTATTGAAGTATAGTTGCTGTACAACACTGTGGAAGTTCTATGTGTATAATAAAGTCATTCACAATTTTTAAAAGTCACACTCCATTTATAGTTACTGTACAGTGTTGCTGTTGTTCAGTTGCTAAGTCGTGTCCGACTCTTTGCAGCCCCATGGACTGCAACATGCCAAGCTTCCCTGTCCTTCACCACTTCCCGGAGTTTGCTCAAACCAGTACGATATCAGCCACATTTCCCATGTTGTACAACATATCTGTGGCTTATTTTATACACAGTAGTTTGTACTTCTTAAATCTGCCACCCCTATATTGCCCCTCCCCTTTTTCTCTCCCCACTAGCTACCACTGATTTGTTCTCTGTATCTGTGAGTCTGCTTTTGTGTTATAGTCACTAACTGTAGTTTTTAGATTTCACATAGAAATGATAACTTGTCTTTCTCTATCGACTTATTTCACTTAGTGAAATAGGACTTCCTTGATGGTTCAGACAGTAAAGAATCTGCCTGCAAGACAGGAGACCTGGGTTCAATTCCTGGGTTGAGAAGATTCTTTGCAGGTGAAAATGGAAACCCACTTCAGTATTCTGGCCTGGAGAATTCCATGGACAGAGGAGCCTGGAGGGCTGTAGTCCAGTGGGGTCACAAAGAGTCAGACAAGACTGAGGGATCAAGACTTTCACACTTTCAATACTCTCCAAGTCCATCCACGTTCCTGCCATTTTGATTCATAATTTTTCTACAATTTTGCCACATATTCCCCTATCTTATTGACATAGCAAAAATAATTTTGTCTTTTAAAAAATTCCTCCAGTTCTTATTAATTGTGGTGACTGTTGTAGTATAAAGCAAAATGGGGGCCATTCATTTCAGGAGAAAACAACTTATAAGGACATCATTATGTTTATCTTAATGTTTTCAAGGGTTATTTGGTTCAAAAATAAATGTCCCTGCACTGTTTTATAGTCACTTGTCTCATCTTTTGATGCTGCTGTAATTTGGATAGTCCACTTCTAACAGTTGTTGTCTCTGTACAAAAGAAGCCTTTGGAAACAACCTTAGTTCTCATACATTTTTAGGCCACAGGCTGCATATTATCCCTCAGAGTTCTCTTTCACTTTCAGGTTCCAGATGTCTTATTCCAGAATGAAGAAAACAGAAAAGACTCCTGAGATAACATTTTCCAGAAAATGAAAACAATGAAATGAAACCTACCTTGTCCTTCAATAGTATTCCTAAGGATAAAAGTAGCTCCAAGTCCTGTTCCCGATCTCTGGATGCAAATCCCCAGAAACTGGCTGGTTTTTCCACTGGCATACAGGTCAGCAGTAGTAACACGAAGAATGCTTCCTACAAATTCAAAGGAGAAGTGAACTTTTACATGAAATGCAGAGTTGAACAGAGTATTTCCACATAACTCCAAAACTTCCAAAATACATTAATATAATGTTAGAAATAAGTACCTCATATGGGCAAAACCTGTTTGAAAACAATTTTCTCTGTATCATGAAAACTAACCCTCCTACCACTAATGATAAAAGCATCCAGCTCTTACTGACCAACGTAGAACTCTGGAATGTGGAGTATTTTTCTCCTTTCTAACATATCTTTTCTTTCTATTTGAAATTTCAGAGGATTTGTTCTTCCCCTTGGAGGAATGAATTCAGGACTCAAGAACCTATGAAAAATATAAAGTAAAATAAATTAAAAGCAAACTTAAAGACCATTAAAACAAACCACTGTTTCACCAGAAAAAAAAAACGAAAGATTAGGATGCTGACATGTTTTATTCTTTCTTCTCTAAATAAGAAAAGTCCACCTTATTTCTATAATTGTTGTCAATTCTCATGAAAACAGCTAACAATTCCTGAGTACTCACCAAGCATTGTGTTAAAAGTTTTATTAAACATGAGTTGGGTGTCATCATCTCCTTTTCACAGATGAAGAACATGAAGCTTGGAGACAGTAAATAACAGATTTATTATTACATTAGCTATAAACATATCATTAAATATAGGCATGTCTGTCAGATTCCAAAGTCTGTAACCCATAGGCTTCATGTTGAGTTGTACATGTTACAGTAAATTATATTGGAAAAGATATAAACATATAAATCAACTGAAAACTAACTTTAAAAATAATCTCCTTATTCTCAAACTGATTTTAAACTTATTACAAAATACTTAATCTATAGAAGAGTATAAATGACATTACAATGAACATACCTGTCCCTGTCACCCATCTCAAGAAATAAATTACCAATATAGTTGAAGCTCCAGTGTACCCCTCCCTACCACCACAGTTAATTTTGTTGTTGTTGTTGTGTGTTAGCTGCTAAGCTGTGTCTGACCCTTTAGTGACCCCATGGACTGTAGCCCACAGGCTCCTCTGTCCATGGGATTTCCCAGGCAAGAATACTGGAGCAGGTTGCCATTTCCTTCTCCAGGGGACCTTCCTGACCCAGGGATCAAAACTGTGTCTCCTGCATTGGCAGGTGGATTCTTTACCACTGAGCCACCAGGGAAGCCCCACAGCTAATTACTATGGGATAATTAATTCGGTGATGATTATTCCTAAGAATTTCTTCCTTTTCCTCAACGTCCTACTTTAAAATGCTTCAAACTTACCAAACAGATGAAATAGTAATACAATGAACACTCATATATACTTCATGTAATTCCACCAACTACCAACATTTTGCCAGATTTGCTTTATATATAATTTTTTCCTGAACCATTTGAAAATGTCAAATAGCAAGGCATTTCATCCTTCAATACTTTAGAAGGCTTCCACTAAGATAAGAATTTTCTTACATTTATCACAATACCTTTATGACACCTAAGAACTTCAGCATTAATTCAATAATCTAACATAGTTCATATTTAAATGTGCCTAATTGGTCCTGAAAAAGGTCTTTTATAGATTCTGCTGGCCATTTCAGACTATAATCAAGCTTCACACATTATATCTGGTTTTTATTGTCTTAAACTAGTACTCTTCCCTTATCTGCAATTTGTAATGATTTCTTTCTTTGAAGAGTCAAAGCCTATCACATTATAGACCACTGCTGGATTCTGGATTTGTTTATTGTTTCCATATGCCTAGACTGAGGTTAAACATTTTGGTAAAAATATTACCGAGGTGATGATGTGATCTTCTTATTCTGTCACATTGGGAGACACATAATGTCAGCTTGTACCACTATTTGGAAAACCAGATTTGATTGCTCTGTAAAAGCAGAGAATTTCCCCTGTACATTCTTTAAACTTTACATATGTATGAACGTATGGGCAATATAAAAATGCTACAATACTTGTCAATTCTTCTGCAGGTTGCTTTTTCACACATCGTATTTGTGAAGTTCATCCATGTTAACTCTAGTTCATTTATGTTTCACTGCTGTACAATAGTGCATTATGTGAATGTATTTGCCCATTCACCTCCTGAAGGATATCTAGGCTACTTCTAAATTTTTATTATAAACATTACTTTTGTGTTCATTTTTGTACATATCTCCTTGTACATATTATATGTCTCTCAGTTCATATTACTTTCCTTAACTTGCATACTCTCTGGATGGAAAGGTACAACCTCAAACTTACTAAATTTTGTCAAATTATTTATCAAAGTAGTTATTCCCATTTAACTGAATTATATTAAGTGTTGCCATTTAAGAGAAATATTCCCTTTTCACCTTAAAACAAAAGTACAGAGAAATATTTTCTGAGTCTCTCGGTTCCATAAATTCAAGTTTATTTCAACTTAGAACCACAGGATATTTTAAGTGTTAAACACAAATACACATACAGAGATAATCCAATTGACAATACAGAACTCTCATATAGCCTGTGTGTGTTGGTTGCTCAGTGCTGTCTGACTCTTTGTGACCCCATGGACTGTAACCCACCATGCTCCTCTGTCCATGGAATTCTCCAGGCAAGAATACTGAGTGGGTTGCCATTTCCTTCTCCAGAGGATCTTCCCAATCCAGGGATTGAACCCAGATCTCCTGCATTGCGGGCAGATGCTTTACCATCTGAGCTACTAGGGGAGCCCTTCATATAGCCTAAATCACACCAATTTTCCCCCCTAATATTTGCTTTTTAATAAGGTTGTTATACAAGTTTACAGAAATGAAACACTTTCTGCAAATCCTAGATCATCTAAATTTACATATACTTCAAAGTTACCACTGTACACTTAAGAGAACCATGTTTTTAGAAAATATTTATTTTCAATTAATTGTTTGGCTCTGCTGGGTCTTAATCACTGCATGCGGGATCTTCCATCTTGCAGCATGTGGATCTTTAGTTGCCACATGTGGGATCTAGCTCCCCCACCAGGGATCCAAACCAGGCCCTCTACATTGGGAGCACCCAGTCTTAGCCACTGGACCACCAGGGAAGTCCCCTAACCAGGATTTTAAGCACACTGTTTTGAAGAGCAAATTTCAGGCACAAATTAGTGGAAATTTCTACCACTGTATCGCTTTTGCAGAGACACAAATACGATGAGTTGGGAAACTACAACAGGCTGTTTGGTGCAATCCATTTCCACCTAGGGAAGTAAGATCCGTTCCTTAACATCAACAGGTAAAATACGACGTACTTCACAGAAAATTCTTGGTACAGGCCAAAGAGCTTCCAATCTGGGCAATCTCTACTTGAAGTTCTGATCTAGTATGACTGCAGAAAGTGCTGGATTGGGAGAGCCAGAAAGACAAACCTGAGCTCGGTGTGCTTCCCAGATTCATGAATTCTGCACACAAGCTCTTATCCTGTGAGTTCCAGATCCTAGGATAAGACCCGCTTCAGACTTCGGAAGCAACTATAGGTTCGATAACGCACAGACCCAAAAACACAAGAATCGTTTCCATGTCCCGGGGCCTCACCTGCTTTCCCGGCGTTGGGGACCGCGCTTGTCCACTATAACTGGTTTCGGCGGTGGCTGGAACACGCCAGGCTCAGAAGGTCCAGTGATCTGCCGCCGGCCCGGCCCCGCCAGGACCCCTACAGGGGCACACCACAGAGGTCAAGACTGCTTCTCACAGCCCAGAGCCCCTGAAACCTCGCACTCTCCCCCAGCTCCCGGTCCCACGAGAGGCTCCTCCCAGGTCGCCCGTGACTTCCAGACTCGCCTCTCCCCTAGCCTGACCCGAAGCTCCTTCTGCCCCCGGCTAGCAAGCTCCGCTGCACTTACGGCTGGCGACAGAGGTTGACACAGGGAGTAGAGCCCTGGCGGATCGAAAGCTCGGGCCCAGACCCTTTCCAGCCTGGCAGCCCCTTGCGATAGAGGCCGCCATGCTTGCGCGCTGTTGAGACTACAACTCCCAGTGATCAGTGCGACAAGGAAGCGGCCGCCCACGGCCAGATGGCAGCTTCTACGGGACAAAATAGTCAAGTTTTTCTCTACCCACCCGAGCCCCGCTCCCCACAAAAGCCTCACTGTCTTAGTTAAAGTGCACTGTATTTCCCCACAAGGAGATCCAACCGGTCCATGCTAAAGGAAATCAGTCCTGAATATTCATTGGAAGGACTGATGTTGAAGCTGAAACTCCAATACTTTGGCCACTTGATGCAAAGAGCTGACTAATTTGAAAAGATCCTGATGCTGGGAAAGATTGAAGGCGGAAGGAGAAGGGGGCGACAGAGGATGAGATGGTTGGATGGCATCACCGACTCAATGGACAGGAGTTGAAATAAACTCCGGTAGTTGGTGATGAACAGGGAGGCCTGGCGTGCTGAAGTCCATGGGGTCGCAAAAAGTCGGACACGACTGAGCGACTAAACTGAACTAAACTGTATTTCTCTAGTTTCCATAATGTGCCAGGTTATATCGGTCCACTGGGGTGTTCTCTCAGCCTGGAAAGCATTCCTTCCTCTTTGAATCCTCACTATTTATCTTCAATTTCTCAGGCAAGACTTCAGCTTGTTAAAATTCTCATTATAGACTCTCATCCTTCCATTAGCAACTCTGATGTCATTTGCAATTTTAATTATTAATTTAATTTTTAATTACTAGTGTATTTATTGGATTAGATTCTAACTCCAACCTTATACTACAGGCTCCTGAGGGTGTGGAGTTTGTCTTTGCTCACCATTTTCTCTCAGCATCTAGCTGGTCCTCACTCTTTGTTGAATGCAAGGAAAAGAAAATAGTTCTTGACAGAAGGAGTGGCTCGAGTCTAGACTACAGAGAGCATTACCTCTCTAAGGAGCTAAACTTGAGTTTGCACTGGACAACTGTAGGTAGTCATAATATTACCCTGAAAACTGGGTGCACCTTGAGGCAGGAGGTAGGTGGTTCCCCCCAGGGTAAAGCAATTAGAGATTCATTCCCCTTAGACTGAAACTCTAAGAATAGCAGGACAATCAAGGGAGACGGGGAGAAGGAAATGGCACCCCACTCCAGTGTTCTTGCCTAAAGAATCCCGTGGGCAGAGGAGCCTGGTGGGCTGCTGTCCGTAGGGTTTCACAGAGTCAGACATGACTGAAACGACTTAGCATGTGTGTATGCATTGGAGAAGGAAATGGCACCCCACTCCAGTGTTCTTGCCTAAAGAATCCCGTGGGCAGAGGAGCCTGGTGGGCTGCTGTCCGTAGGGTTTCACAGAGTCAGACATGACTGAAACGACTTAGCATGTGTGTATGCATTGGAGAAGGAAATGGCACCCCACTCCAGTGTTCTTGCCTAAAGAATCCCGTGGGCAGAGGAGCCAGGTGGGCTGCTGTCTGCAGGGTTTCACAGAGTCAGACATGACTGAAACGACTTAGCATGTGTGTATGCATTGGAGAAGGAAATGGCACCCCACTCCAGTGTTCTTGCCTAAAGAATCCCGTGGGCAGAGGAGCCTGGTGGGCTGCTGTCCGTAGGGTTTCACAGAGTCAGAGATGACTGAAACGACTTAGCATGTGTGTATGCATTGGAGAAGGAAATGGCACCCCACTCCAGTGTTCTTGCCTAAAGAATCCCCTGGACAGAGGAGCCTGGTGGGCTGCTGTCCGTAGGGTTTCACAGAGTCAGACATGACTGAAACGACTTAGCATGTGTGTATGCATTGGAGAAGGAAATGGCACCCCACTCCAGTGTTCTTGCCTAAAGAATCCCGTGGGCAGAGGAGCCTGGTGGGCTGCTGTCCGTAGGGTTTCACAGAGTCAGACATGACTGAAACGACTTAGCATGTGTGTATGCATTGGAGAAGGAAATGGCACCCCACTCCAGTGTTCTTGCCTAAAGAATCCCGTGGGCAGAGGAGCCTGGTGGGCTGCTGTCCGTAGGGTTTCACAGAGTCAGACATGACTGAAACGACTTAGCATGTGTGTATGCATTGGAGAAGGAAATGGCACCCCACTCCAGTGTTCTTGCCTAAAGAATCCCGTGGGCAGAGGAGCCTGGTGGGCTGCTGTCCGTAGGGTTTCACAGAGTCAGAGATGACTGAAACGACTTAGCATGTGTGTATGCATTGGAGAAGGAAATGGCACCCCACTCCAGTGTTCTTGCCTAAAGAATCCCCTGGACAGAGGAGCCTGGTGGGCTGCTGTCCGTAGGGTTTCACAGAGTCAGACATGACTGAAACGACTTAGCATGTGTGTATGCATTGGAGAAGGAAATGGCACCCCACTCCAGTGTTCTTGCCTAAAGAATCCCGTGGGCAGAGGAGCCTGGTGGGCTGCTGTCCGTAGGGTTTCACAGAGTCAGACATGACTGAAACGACTTAGCATGTGTGTATGCATTGGAGAAGGAAATGGCACCCCACTCCAGTGTTCTTGCCTAAAGAATCCCCTGGACAGAGGAGCCTGGTGGGCTGCTGTCCGTAGGGTTTCACAGAGTCAGACATGACTGAAACGACTTAGCATGTGTGTATGCATTGGAGAAGGAAATGGCACCCCACTCCAGTGTTCTTGCCTAAAGAATCCCGTGGGCAGAGGAGCCTGGTGGGCTGCTGTCTGCAGGGTTTCACAGAGTCAGACATGACTGAAACGACTTAGCATGTGTGCATGCATTGGAGAAGGAAATGGCACCCCACTCCAGTGTTCTTGCCTAAAGAATCCCCTGGACAGAGGAGCCTGGTGGGCTGCTGTCCGTAGGGTTTCACAGAGTCAGACATGACTGAAACGACTTAGCATGTGTGTATGCATTGGAGAAGGAAATGGCACCCCACTCCAGTGTTCTTGCCTAAAGAATCCCGTGGGCAGAGGAGCCTGGTGGGCTGCTGTCCGTAGGGTTTCACAGAGTCAGACATGACTGAAACGACTTAGCATGTGTGTATGCATTGGAGAAGGAAATGGCACCCCACTCCAGTGTTCTTGCCTAAAGAATCCCCTGGACAGAGGAGCCTGGTGGGCTGCTGTCCGTAGGGTTTCACAGAGTCAGACATGACTGAAACGACTTAGCATGTGTGTATGCATTGGAGAAGGAAATGGCACCCCACTCCAGTGTTCTTGCCTAAAGAATCCCGTGGGCAGAGGAGCCTGGTGGGCTGCTGTCCGTAGGGTTTCACAGAGTCAGACATGACTGAAACGACTTAGCATGTGTGTATGCATTGGAGAAGGAAATGGCAACCCACTCCAGTGTTCTTGCCTAAAGAATCCCCTGGACAGAGGAGCCTGGTGGGCTGCTGTCCGTAGGGTTTCACAGAGTCAGACATGACTGAAACGACTTAGCATGTGTGTATGCATTGGAGAAGGAAATGGCACCCCACTCCAGTGTTCTTGCCTAAAGAATCCCGTGGGCAGAGGAGCCTGGTGGGCTGCTGTCCGTAGGGTTTCACAGAGTCAGACATGACTGAAACGACTTAGCATGTGTGTATGCATTGGAGAAGGAAATGGCACCCCACTCCAATGTTCTTGCCTAAAGAATCCCCTGGACAGAGGAGCCTGGTGGGCTGCTGTCCGTAGGGTTTCACAGAGTCAGACATGACTGAAACGACTTAGCATGTGTGTATGCATTGGAGAAGGAAATGGCACCCCACTCCAGTGTTCTTGCCTAAAGAATCCCGTGGGCAGAGGAGCCTGGTGGGCTGCTGTCCGTAGGGTTTCACAGAGTCAGACATGACTGAAACGACTTAGCATGTGTGTATGCACTGGAGAAGGAAATGGCACCCCACTCCAGTGTTCTTGCCTAAAGAATCCCCTGGACAGAGGAGCCTGGTGGGCTGCTGTCCGTAGGGTTTCACAGAGTCAGCCATGACTGAAACGACTTAGCATGTGTGTATGCATTGGAGAAGGAAATGGCACCCCACTCCAGTGTTCTTGCCTAAAGAATCCCGTGGGCAGAGGAGCCTGGTGGGCTGCTGTCCGTAGGGTTTCACAGAGTCAGACATGACTGAAACGACTTAGCATGTGTGTATGCATTGGAGAAGGAAATGGCACCCCACTCCAGTGTTCTTGCCTAAAGAATCCCGTGGGCAGAGGAGCCTGGTGGGCTGCTGTCCGTAGGGTTTCACAGAGTCAGACATGACTGAAACGACTTAGCATGTGTGTATGCATTGGAGAAGGAAATGGCACCCCACTCCAGTGTTCTTGCCTAAAGAATCCCGTGGGCAGAGGAGCCTGGTGGGCTGCTGTCCGTAGGGTTTCACAGAGTCAGACATGACTGAAACGACTTAGCATGTGTGTATGCATTGGAGAAGGAAATGGCACCCCACTCCAGTGTTCTTGCCTAAAGAATCCCGTGGGCAGAGGAGCCTGGTGGGCTGCTGTCCGTAGGGTTTCACAGAGTCAGACATGACTGAAACGACTTAGCATGTGTGTATGCATTGGAGAAGGAAATGGCACCCCACTCCAGTGTTCTTGCCTAAAGAATCCCGTGGGCAGAGGAGCCTGGTGGGCTGCTGTCCGTAGGGTTTCACAGAGTCAGACATGACTGAAACGACTTAGCATGTGTGTATGCATTGGAGAAGGAAATGGCACCCCACTCCAGTGTTCTTGCCTAAAGAATCCCCTGGACAGAGGAGCCTGGTGGGCTGCTGTCCGTAGGGTTTCACAGAGTCAGACATGACTGAAACGACTTAGCATGTGTGTATGCATTGGAGAAGGAAATGGCACCCCACTCCAGTGTTCTTGCCTAAAGAATCCCCTGGACAGAGGAGCCTGGTGGGCTGCTGTCCGTAGGGTTTCACAGAGTCAGACATGACTGAAACGACTTAGCATGTGTGTATGCACTGGAGAAGGAAATGGCACCCCACTCCAGTGTTCTTGCCTAAAGAATCCCCTGGACAGAGGAGCCTGGTGGGCTGCTGTCCGTAGGGTTTCACAGAGTCAGCCATGACTGAAACGACTTAGCATGTGTGTATGCATTGGA